TCAAATGTGTTATAATTAATCGTTTTTATTAAAGGCAGTTTTTCTTCTGTGCTTTTGGTGAACTTTGGAGAATATGGATCTACTACAAATTTATCTTTTAAATTTTGTAATTTATCGGGATCGGACCACTTATCTTTGGTGTATTTTGGATTGAGTACAAATTTATCTTTTAAATGTTGAAATTTATCTGGGTCTGTGCTGGGCAACTTATTTTTGGGTTTTTTATTTTTGGTGAATTTTGGAGGTCTTAATACAAATTTGTCTTTTAATTTTTCTAATTTATCGGGGCTGTACCACGTTTCTTTGGGTTTTTTATTCTCCATTTCAGACAATTCAGTATCAGGGTCATCCTCGATGGCTTGGACGTCATCTTCGTTTTCAGGGCTTCCATCGCTGCGAATCACAAAATACTTGTTTCCTCCATTCTGTCTAACCTGAAGATTACAATTTTCCAATGGATTAGGTATGTGGAAATATTTTTATCCTAAACGGGCATTTAACTACAAATGAAAGAGGCAAAGTTTGTTTTTACACGACTGCGCCAGAACTACTGGACACGACTGTGCGCGGCCGCGTCACAATGCATAAATAGAAATGGACACTGTTGTGGTCTCCTTCAAACGTTGACGTTGGTTGGCAACTGAGTGCTGAGTGTGAGTTTAAGTACATCAAACTTTGTTACTAGTGAGCGCGTAAAAAATGACTACGAGGGGCGGCTGAAAAGTTTTGAGCCTAAGTATCTTCAAGTGTTATTATTGATTCGCACTAAATTTAATTAATTTGCCAATAATCTCCTTAGTATATGTACAAAGTTTCATTCCATTAGCGTCATCACACATTTAGTAATTAATCCGTAAACATCATCAAGTCTCAGTCATCCGCGCAATGTACGAAATTGAAATACACAGTTGTCATAAACTTCCTCCAAAAGAGGGACAAAACGCTGACGGTTACATTTGAAGAGATGTCTACAGTTTATGGGGAGTCTGGGCCTTCATTTGCCACCATGAAAGATTGGATCCGATAGTTCAAGCATGGCAGGGAGTCGCTAAAAGATGACCGCAAGTCAGGGCGGCCAGATTTCGCCATTAACGAATAAAATAATGAAAATTTAAAGAATCTTGCTTTAGAGATCCGCGAATTAAGCTGTGACAGATAGCTGAAGCCATAGGCATTAGCAAGGAACGTATCGGCGATATTTTTCATACTCATTTGCACATGAAATAGGGGTGCACGCGATGGGTGCCAAAAATGTTTACGGCGCTCGACAACCAGCGTCGAGTCACAACTTCGCAGGAGTTTTAGGACATCTTTGGCCATAATCCTAACAATTTTATTTCTCACATTGTCACTATTGATAAATAGTAGATCCGGCAGGTTCCGGTTCCGGTATTGTGGACGTAAACACGTATACGAATCAGCTCCGACGAAATAAATCATAAGTGCTAATAAAACTAGTGAAATTACCATCAAACTGCGAAATCATCTGAAGAAACCCACTATAACTCAAATTACGAAGAAATCTCAATAGAAAATAGTGCATAAAGTGAAATCAAGATCATTTCTTTTAAAGTTAACCTACAATAAAATTGCGCCCATCTGTCATAAAAACAATAGTGCCAATCTAATAACATTGATTGAATGAATGAAGGAACTTGTATTTTGACAGTTCTTGTCCTAGTGTTGCCAGTAAAAATATTATAAATTCTACTAAAATATGGATCAAAATATTATGGAGTTGCTGCTAACTAAACTAGACGAGAAGCTGAAACAACAAACTTTGACAATAACAACAAATGTCACCAATAACGTCATGCAAGCTCTAGATGAAAAAATGAAAATAGTCTTGGAAGAAAACAAAACCTTAAAAACAAAAATAACAAACCTTGAACAGAAAATAGAATCTATGGAAAAGGAAAAGAGAAAGAACAACCTAGTATTTTTCGGTTTAGAAGAGAAACAGAAAACAGAATGTGAATTAGTAGATTATTTGAAAGAAATAATAGTAGATATGGGCATTTACCTGGACAGTCAAGAGATAGCCAAAATTTATAGAATCGGGCAGCGCTCAGATAAAAATCGACCGGTAGTGGTCTCCTTCACAACAACATGGAAGAAACATCTTATTCAGAAGAACAAATCCAACCTGCCACAAGGCATCTATCTTAAAGAAGACTTTCCAAAAGAAGTTTTAGAAACCCGCAGAAAACTACAACCAATGCTGGAAGAAGAAAGAAAGAAGGGAAATTTAGCTTATCTGAAATACGATAAGTTAATAGTAAAAAACCCAAAAGATGCTAACCGAGAGAAAAGGAAAAGAGAAAAGGTAGAATCGCCAGAAACAATTTCAACATGCACCAGGAAGAAACAAATTACCGACAAACGTATTGATGAGCCATCTACAAGCAATACACAAGGAGTAGTAAAACCAAGCATATTCAATTATGTGGCACGAGGTAGAGCATCATCGGTGTCTGAGCCAAAAACTTCAAAAAACTAAAAACTTCTTCCCTTAACTGGAACCCGGACAAGACAAACCAAACAACACAACAAACTAAAATAAAAACCAACAACAACACCCCAACCCCTCTCCCAAGACGGCTGGTCACCGCGGGAGATGTAGACTACCACCCTCCAACGATTTCAAAGGCCTCATCACACAAACAGAATAAAACACATAACGCTACAAGGAACAAAAACAATGTCACAAATATCTGTACGCTAAATACAAGAACTCTGAGGACAGAGGAGAACCTACAAGAGCTGGAATTGGCCCTTAATTACCTAAAATGGGACATAGTAGGTATCAGCGAAATGAGAAGAGAAGGAGAAGGCATAGAAGAGAGAAATAAAGAATACATACTATACTATAAAGGTGAAACGGCAGGCCTATATGGAACTGGATTTCTAGTGAAAAGGAGACTTCTAGCGGAGATCGAAGAGTTCATAGGGATTTCAGAAAGAATATCAATGCTAAATGTAAGACTACCCACTGGAAACAAAAAGGAACAATGGTCAATCATCCAGGTATACGCACCAACAGAACCAGTAAAGAACGAGGACATGCACAAGATTGAATCATTCTACAGTAATCTACAATCCACCATAACGCAGGCACATTCCAATCTTATAGTTATGGGTGACTTTAATGGAAAAGTAGGTACATCCAAAACAGGAGAAGAGAAGATCATTGGAAGATTTGGTCATGGACATAGAAGTAAAAATGGTCAATCACTGGTAAACTTAGCGACTGAAAATAAACTGTCCGTTATGAACAGTTTTTTCAAAAAAAGAAATTCAAGGAAATGGACCTGGATCTCACCTTGTGGAAGATACACGAACGAAATAGACTATATAATGACAAATAAAAAAGATAGGATCAAGGATGTTACTGTAATAAATAACCTGAACTTCAATACAGACCATAGAATGGTTCGTGCAATATTGGAAGGAAACCCAGTAAAGAAAACAAGAAAAACCTATAGTAAGAGACCTGAATCATACATCACCAATAAAAATCTGGAAACCTTCACGATAAATTTCAAAAACGCACTGGAAAACGAGATGGATAAATCCAACAGTAAGAATATAGAAGAAATCTACAATAAATTCACAACTACCTTAAAAAACGAGATCGACAGAACCAAATCAATGCCAAAAGAAAAAAGGATATCTACACACACCCAAGATTTACTACAACAACGGAAAGAACTACTGAAGGATAAAAAATCTAATACAAAACAAATCACGGAAATAAGCAAGAAAATCAATGAAAATATAAAGAAGGATAACAAAGTAAGAAGAAACGATGTCATCAAATATCATATTGAAAAAACAGGAGGAATAAAGAAGGCTTATAAGAAGCTGTCAGACAAAACAGAATGGATGCCAAATCTAAAGAACAAACAGGGAATATGCACAGGGAACAGGAAGGCAATTCTCGACATTGCAACAGAGTTCTACAAAACACTTTACACAGGCATGGACGGCAACAACGAATACCAACCAAAAAACTTAAATTGTAATAAACGGGGATTATTATGCTGTACTGTTGATAAGAGTGCGTCAAGTGGTTGTTGAAATATTAAGAGGCAAACTGGCGAAAGGAAATCTGTTATTGCAAGACAATTCGCCCGCGCACACCGCGCATGTTGCATGGCTTGCCCCGGGTAAAACTGGATTTCAAGAAATTAATCACCCACCACACAGTTTAGTCCAAATCCCTAGCTATTTTGTCTAATTCCCAAATTGGAAAAAAGACCTCCAGGAACGAAGATTTTTGAGTGACAAAGAAATGAAAGCGGCGTTAAAGGCTCATTTCGAAGGCAAAGATTGCGAATTTTTTTTCAGTGGGTTAAAAGCTCTTTTACACAAATGTAAGAAGTCCGTTGTAGTAGAGGGAGATTAAATAGAAAAATATATTTTTTATACTTTTCTATCGGCGTTTTTAATACCCTAGGCTCAAAACTTTTCAGCCGCCCCTCGTAAGATGATTAAGGCTGAGTAAGAGTTGCACCACCATTTTACTTTGACTTTGACAAACGTCAAAAATCACCAGTTATTGTTATTGTTACGGTTAAAGTAAGCTGGTGCAACTCAGCCTAAATGTAAGATGAATTGTACAGCGCCCCTAGGAAAGTTTCAAGTACTAAAATTTAAAATTTTTATACATTTTTTTTACGCTAGTGAGCGCGTTTGATTTAAATTCACACTAGGCCCTCTGGCGTAAGGCGCCCAAATAAACTTTTTACGCTGAAATCGTACGCCGCGTATAGCGTTTAATAGGAGACCATAGTAATTAGTATCATTAAGAAACTATAAAACATTCCCATATATTATGTACTTACCTTGCGCTGATTACTTGATATTTCTGGTAAAAAAAGGCATAACACCACAAGGCCTAAGACTAGAGACAACCGCATTATGCAGTTGATATCTTATCACTGTTTTTAATTGGCGCGAAAAATTTCCAATTAAAAATGTTAATGCGTGAAAGCAGATAATTTTTGAACTGTGATCAAAAAAGTTTCTCAGTAAATTATTGATTGTGTCTTGCGGAAAATTCAAAATAATTCTGTTACATTCCTACATAAAAGATGATCCAATTTGAGGTTCCCATATTATTGGCAACGCTGTAATTTTGTTAGCTATTAGAAATGCCGCGTTTTCAACCGTCGATTGTTAGTTTTACAAAATCATTCAATCATTTATTATCATTAAAAATGATAATCAACTCTAAATTCTAATCTGACAATCATGAGGCGAGGCATTTACGTTACGGTGCAGATAAGTGTGCGTTGCAGTATGGAGTTTCATACAAAGAATAAGTACTGACCGCCTCGAGTTGATACGGTTACGATCACTTTCCGGGTTGATAAGTGTGCTACGTCCTTTATAGTTGATCTGGGTGAATATCCCAAACACGTTTTTTACGCGGCGGAGCTGAGAATCGATGGGAGAAATGTAACTAGAGCGATGATTTTTTTTCTGTATATAGTTTATACAGCGTTTTACACGATAGCAAAGTCTTCAGGACAATAGGTAGTTATTTAATGTACTAAAAACATTTTCAAAGACCTAAAATCTAATTGCGGTGGCGCGTCCTAACTCTATATCTACTCAT